GAATTTATTCCCTACATTTTAGCTGAGTCTCACAAGAAGTACCTATAGCTGTTAGGAATAAAAAGCACTAAAAATAATAAGTAATGGTACTTACCACATGTCTGTAGTAATTTGGCTTATTGACCATCTTTCTGCTTTTTGTTATTGTTCTCTTTAGTTGTAAGCTCTTTGAGGTAGGAAATAAATTCTGCTCTGGGTACTATGCCTCACAGTGGTTTCTGAATTTTGATTTGATCTTCTGACATCCATTGCAATACTGTTGATGAAGAAGTGAGTTTTCCCTCAAAACAGATTTTAAACTTTTCTAGAGTATGATTCTAGTGACTATCCTGAATTAATTTTCATGGTTTTTCCCATGAAAACTGTCTTAGAAAATTTCTGTCTATTGTAGGAACAGCAGCAATACTGGTACCAGCAGCACTTGCTTAGCCTGCAGCAAAGGGCAAAAGCCCATGCTCAGGGACAGCAGCAAATAAAAGGTCCAGTAGTGAAGGATGCATCTGAGCAGAGAGCAAAGTCTGAAGAAGGGAAAATGAGTGCTTCAGCTCAGCAGTCTGAACCTCCTCCACTTAATGAATCCCTGCCTCCAACTTCCAAAGAAGACGAGTCTTCTCTTACATCCACTGAAACTCAGGTAGGCTTTGTAAAGTGGTGCTACTCCGTTTGTTGTGCTAGATGGGACAAAGAAACAGGAAAATAATGCAGTTGAATGCTTGTGTGTACAGTGTAACAATAACTAAATACGGTAAAGCAATCTTAAAAGAAATTTGCTAAGGCTGCACCAATTGAATAAAAATACACTCCTTGTATATAGACTTACATAGTCACTCACACATGCACCAGGCGAGTCCAACCTTGACTGACTCACACCTTCCCCAATATTGTCATCTTTGACTACAAGAAATGCTTTGTGATACCTAAGTGCAAAATCAAGTACTTGGTAGATGAGGAATGCTGTCTTTAAGACACTGTTTCTTAATTCCTCTCTGGCAGTTTGTCAGTTCTGGCTCCCCTTATCTCTGCGTGTTATAGTTTGTCTGAAAGCCAAGAACTTTGCACAGAATATTTTTGTCAGCACGCTTAGTAACAGTTACTAGATAATGGACGGAGGTCATGATTGATGTTTGGACAGATAACTGTAGGGTAGTAGATTACTCTGCAGTGTGTGCTCCACTTTAACTTACATTGTGTGGGTTCCTACCAAGTGGCAAAAATAATGCACTTGGAGTTACTTTACCTCATTGTGAAAAAGCACTGTTGTCTCATTATGTTTGCTGTGAGCAACAGATAGCAGATCTGCATTAATCTCTCTCCTGTAGGTAGTTTCTGTGGATATGAATACCCTAATTGCTATCAGCCTAACCTTTAGATCAGACTACTCACGTTAAGAATAAATGAAATAAAAATCAGCCTTCCAGAAGCTGTGATACAGACTGAAATAGTCCAGATGTGACCAAGTGTGTTTTTCTTCGAACAGAAGGAGCTTTCTGTTATTGATAGTATTTGCCTTTTTCTCTAGCTCAATATTGAACCTCCCGATGACCCCGAGGAGGATTTGAGATTGCAGCAATTGCAAGCGGCGGCAGCTCAGTGGCAGCAGCATCCCCATCACCGGGTTGGATTTCAATATCAGAGAATAATGCAAAAGCATGCCCAGCTGCAGCAGATAGTACAGCAGTATCAACAGATCATGCAACAGCCTCCACACTTACAGGTGAAACTCTAAGGAGATGGTGTTTGATATACTTCCTGGGTGACCTAGCACTCATGGTCTGCTGAAAAACAAGTAGTTGAATAATTTGTCATGGTTGGCTCATTTGTCTAGCTACTTTTTCTGCTTGGGTAGAAGTCTATATCCCCTTTTCCTACTGTCGCTTGACTTCAGAATGAAAAAAGAATTGACAGATGGTGATGAAGCTTCAGCAGGCAAGACTTTACACTCGTCATAAGATTTTTCAGACATACCTGGCTGATACAGGAGCAAAGCTGAATGCAGTATTGAATTTTCTAAGCTTTAACTGTTTAACTGTTTTTTCTAAGCTTTAACTGTTTTACTGCTGGAGAAACAGTTCAGAAGAAAGGTCAGGTAAACAGACGATTGCATGGAGTAATTTGGTAGCTGCTCATTTTTACAACATTGTGTAGTACAAAAATAAATATAAACAATGATGAAGTAAACATACATGCCAAAAATATGCAGTTAAAATAATTAAGAAATTCACTGTCACATTATTTTTGACAAAAATAACCAGTGAAATAAAATTAAAAGTTTTAATAACAAATTTGGATAATTATATCAGTGTTTCAACCTTTAAGCTTTTAAGTAGAAGTTGATTGCTGTGTTAGAGAGTTGAGTCAGCTTTTTCTGAGTTGGTGGAGTTTGTACGTTAAACGGTTCTTTGTAGCTTGGGCTGTGTACTGGTTTGAAAAAAAAATCTCTTAAGCCTGAACCCTAAAAATCTCGGACAAGATAAAGCCATGGATATTAGTACCTATATCTACACGTACTGAAAGACAATATCTCCTTGGAAGAAGCTTCATTGTGCAAATAAGAAGATCTGGCAAAGGCTTAGAGAAAAATAATTGCTTGACAGCTCAAGCAACTCTGTGCGAGTTAATAGCAGAAACCGAAACCTTCAGAAATAGCCATGTACTCTATATATTAAAAAAAGTGAAGATTGATTTGGGCTTTAGCCATTGTTAGCATCCAGTAATAGTACAGCTTGGAGCCCTGTAGCTTTCTTCATCTGTCCTGTTTAAAAAAAAAAAAAAAAAGCCCCTCAAAAAAGCCTATTATACATTAATGTCCTCTAGTCATAAAACATGTAAATTGTCACAATGACATTAGACATCACTGTTGGTGTTTCAGTGTAGTTCTTCCTCAAGCTTCTGCCCAAGTCAGATATTGTGATATTACAAGTGATACTGAAGTATGTGGCACTGGAAATAATTAAGATGGTATTTGGAAGCTATTCTTGTGTTCTCATTGCAGACAATGTCGGTGGACATGCAGCTGCGACATTATGAGGCACAGCAGAAACAGTTCCAGCAGCTTCACAAAGATTGGGAGCGATCAATGAACCAACAGTGGCAGCATCAGCTTCAAACCTACCCTCACAAAGACCAGCTTCAAGAGTATGAGAAACAGTGGAAAGCGTGGGATGAACAGATGAAGGTCACTCAGTCTCATCTGCAGGAGAAAGTGAGCTCACTCCAAAATCTGAAGAACCAGTATCCTGCAAATGTTTCACTGCCACCTCCATTTGTTCCATATTCTCAAACCACTCAAAGTGGCCGTCACCCTCAGAGGGAAGAAGTTCTTCCTCATGTTCAGCTGTCTCTCTTCTGTTTCTCAGTTATCTAATTCCTCTGTCCCTTCAGGATCCAGTTCTCAAAGCAGTCAATCTACTGAGACGCCAAGGCCAGCCCTGCTTCCCACCCCTGGTACCTATGCATCAAAAATAGCTAGTTCGACTGTCTATTCACCTTACCATTCTCAAGTAAGTTCATCCTTCGGCTCTCCAGACCACGGAAAGTCTCAAGTTCATCTTGGTAAACAAACTGTCTCTGTTTCATCTGAGCAAGGATGTGGGGAACTGAAAACCACTTCTGCAATGTCTTCAACACATGCACCTATCACACAGGATAAACCAGTGAGGTCAGGTGGATTGCTTCCAGATCCTCCCAGATCAGCACGTTTTGAAGGCCCCAGAGGCCCTAGGTAAGGATGTTTTTGTTGATTTATACATAGAATCATAGGATTGTAGAATCATTCAGGTTGGAAAAGACCTCTAAGATCCTCTAGTCCAACTGTCAAACCAACACCACCATGCCTGCTAAACCATGTCCTGAAATGCCATATTTACATGTTTTTTGAAC